AGGTTGGGCTGCAGTTTCCCTTCTGCCTTGCCACGTCCTGGTGCAGCACAGCTGGGGAGCTGCAGAGTGGTGCTTGTAGGGGTGTTCTGACCTTGTGGGGCTTGGTTTGGGATTGTTTGGCTGTGGGTTTTTATTTTCTCCTCTAAGGTAACTCATGGGTTAATTTATACCAGCACATGTTGATATAAAGAACATTTCTCTCTGCACTGGGAGGTCTCATTATCTTCCTGTGGTTGATTTAATGTTCTTTGTTGGAGGAAGAGACATTGTAACAGAAGGTCTTTCTTGAGGCTGGAAGTTTTAACCATCAACATAAAGCAGAGCCCTTCAGAAGGTTATTTTGTTCTGTTTTGTGGCCTTTTCTTTGCCCCTGTAAGAAGTGCAGTGTAGCTGTGAGTGGATGTTTGCTTCAGTAATTCCCAGCTGCTCCTGATTTCAGTCACTGTCCTTTGATGTTCTGCAGTATCTGTGGATAACTGTCCTTTGGGCAAAGGAAAAGAAAGCAGAAATTAGAGAGGGAGTTGGGAACGTTCCCTTGGGAGAAAGAAGCTGCTCATAAAACAGCAAACTCCACCTTTGTCTCCTCCCCTTCCATCCATGGAGAGCTGTGAAAAGAGCTCAAACCCCAGAAAAATCTTGAGGGGGAAAAATATCTGAATTCTAAGCACTCCTAAAATTTTAAATGGTGCCATCTGGTTTGTGTGTGAACTGTTACCAGGAATCACTGAGCTGTGCTGGCTGCAGAATATCCAGGAACCAGCAGTTCTGGATGAGGGCTTAGGGACAGTCTGTATTTTTTTTTATTCCCCCTCTCCATCTGAGTAGATTCAGTGAACTGGGAATCTGCAGAAATGGAAGCAGGTGGTGAGAGATTCAGGAAAGGCCTTTATTCCATGATCCTTTGGGATCCCAGTGGTGTGGGCAACATCACAGGAGGGAAAAGCCCCATTTGGTTGGTCCCAGCAAATATGGCCAGAGAGAACAGCATCCATTTGCAGAACAAAACAGAAATACTTTGGTACAGAAAGCTGCAGGTAAACGTCTGATCTAATTTAGGTTGGCAATTAATTAATACTGTTGAATTTTACTGCAGAGGGATCATCCCAGTTTCTGTGAGGGAAGCAGGGATGGCCTTGACTCCTGACAGCTGCTACCTGCCAAAACAATTAATCTGGGAATAGATGGAGACCAAAGTTTCTCAATTAAACAGAAGTATTTCTTAATTGCTTATCCTTCTGGCAGCAATTACTAATACCAAATTAATTCCAGTATTCCTGGGGCCAGTGATAAAGATTGATTGGATTGTTGAGACATTAAATGGTGATTCATGGTTTATTTTTCCTGTTTGGTCACATCCCTCTCCACAGTCCATCCTCTGCCTTCCCTTGGCTTCCTGAAGCCTTCTCCAGGCTCAGCTGTTTGCAGCAGGCAGGAGATGTTGGAGATAAGTTAAATGTCCTGCACAATAAAATTATGAAACCAAATTGTTGTTAGAGGCACAATGTCAGAACTTTGGCTGAGGAGCTGCAGCAGCATTGCCAGAGCTGCTCTGCTTCCTCATGGATCCTGCAGGGGCTGAGCTGAGGAATAACCTTTGGAACACCATCCATAAAGGTCTTCCCTCTCCTGTTGGTAAATGTAGCAAAAGAATCTTACCCAGATGGTTTTATTTACACGTGGGGAGCAGCAGAGGAGCGGAAACCTGGTGTGGATGCTGGAAACAATTCTGATTATCCTCTCTTTTGGAGGGCATTTTATAAACTTCAGGATCAGATTTTTGCCAAGTGCTGAGCGGCCCTGGAACTCACCTTGAAGGAGAACTGGAGTTATTCTGGGCTGGGACTCGAAAAGCATCTGTTTGTTCACCTGAGGTGTTGCTCTGACTGATGGAGCTGTGTGAGCACTGGAGTTTTCAGCACATTATTTTCTTAAAATGAGAACTGTCATCTGCCTCTCACTGATGGTGTGTGGAGTAACGTGGCCTTGAAATTTACTTTTGAAGGACTCTCTGAGTAACCAGGGATTTCTTCACAATTAAATCTTTAATAAGGTCATAATTCATATCTTCAGGGCACTGCATAAACACTAATTTTTATAATCTCCCTGTGGATGGGGAGAACAAGTGTTGTCCCCATTTTCCTGTCGGTAGGACTGGGAATGAGGCAAAACCACTTCTTTGAGGCTGCAGAAGAGATGAGGAGCTGAAGGGAGGGTCAGAGTTTGGGAAGTCCCTGGTTCTCAGGACATCATTAAACAGCTCCTGCCCAACACACAGAGACTGTGCTTCCTGGGGAGTGGCTGGGAGTGCTGGCAGGGATGGAGCTGGAGGAAACCAGAGGCAATAAAGCCATTTTTAGAATAGCTCTGACTCCCCACCTTTCTGTGGGCAGTGAGGACACTGGTGAGGAGTTGGTCCATCTCTGTTAACCTGGTTATGCAGTAACTGAGGACTCGGGTGTGACAAAGGTCAGAAGCCTCTTGCTGCTGTTTGGCCCCCTGATGGTGGATGGATCTCCTGGGGGCAGGACAGGGCCCTGTGGCAGTGCCTGAAGGAGGGAGGTCATGTCTGCAGGGTGGAAAATGCTGCTCTGAAAAGGAGAGGACAGGGCTTCCAGGCACTGCTTTGTCCACGGCTCCCCAAATCCACAGCAGCTGCCTGTGGATCCCTCAGGGTTTCACAGCTCAGATCCAGTCTCATCTTCCACCTCTCGACGTGCAGAAAAGATAACTCAGTTTTGGAGTAGGATTTTTCTGCCTCTGATGAGGTTTAGAGGAGTTCTGTCACACTGTCTGCAGCCCCAAAGGACAGTGCCCGTTCCTGGAAGTGTTCCAGGCCAGGTTGGACGGGGCTTGGAGCAACCTGGTCTGGTGGGTGCAGCCTGGCAGGGGTTGTACAAGATGATCTTTAAGGTGCTTTCCAAGCCCAGCCATTCTGTGATTATCACAGAATCAGCTGGGTTGGAAGGGACCTCTGAGATCATCAAGTCCAACCCTTGATCCAACCCCGCTGTGGTTCCCAGCCCATGGCACTGATACCACATCCAGTCTCAGCTTAAAAACCTCCAGGGACAGAGAATCCACCACTTCCCTGGGCAGTGCATTCCAATGGCTGAGCACCCTCTCTGGAAAGAAATTCTGTCTAATATCCAACCTAACCCTCCCCTGGCACAGCTCAAGACCGAGCCCTCTTGTCTTGCTGATCGTTGCCTGGGAAAAGAGACCAACCCCCCCCCGGCTCCCTCCTCCTGTCAGGGAGTTGTAGAGAGTGAGGAGGTCGAGGCTTATATTTGAGCCTAACTGTGTATTTTCCTTCCCCCTCAGCTTTCCGAAGATGAGCCGTGGCCACGCCTGAGCGCCGCCGAGCCCGTCCCTCCCCTCCTGCACAGCCCCGCGCTCACAGACAAGTACCCGGAGCTGCCAACCGAGATTGCCAAAAGCAGCGTCGCTCCCTCGGGAGGAGCCCCGAAGGATTCCGGCCCCCAGGAGGAGAAGTGCAGCAAAGCGCTGGCTCTGCGGATACAGGAATCCTACGGCAGCGGCCTGTCGGTCAGCCTGGCCCCCTCCAACTCCGCCAGCTCAGGCACGGACCAAAAAGGCTTCAAGGTGTCCCCTGCCGGCCAAACTAAAGCGCAGGAGGCGGAGAAAACGCCCGCGGCGAACTTTAAAAGGACTTTGGAGGAATCCAACTCGGGCCCGGCGGTGAAGAAGCCGCGGCGGGGGCTGGGCCGGGCGCTGGGCCCGCAGGGGGAGGCCCCGGCCCGCAGGACCCCCGCCAAGCTGGCCATGAGGCGCAGCCTGCGCGGGCAGAAGAAGCTCAGCCCCGGCCTCTTCCACCCGCCCAGGAAAGCCGTGTGCGTGTGCTGAGGGAGGCTCGGAGCGGCCGCAGAAAGTTTTGGAAACTCTTTTATCTTTTTTTAATAAAAGTAGAAAACTTTTTTTGGTATCCGACAGCTTTATTCCCCCCCCCTCCACCCCCTCTTCCCGGCCTTGTACTTGCTTGTATTATAACTGTGAATTTTGTAGATGTGTAGGGTATAAGTCACTGTAAAATGTGTGTAAATTTGTATTCCTTCATATAAATGTAGTCTCTTTTTTTTTTCTTCCTTGTATAATTGTTTTAAAACCTTGTTTTAAAAAAGGAAAAAAAAACGAACACAAAAAATTAATCCTTTTTTGTTAATTTACTAAAGTCATCGATTTGTATACGCTTCTTGTGAGGAGAATTTCACAACTTTTTAACTAAAGTAAATTATTAAACAGAATGGGAGATATGTATTTTCGTAGTCCAATATGTTCCACCTAAGGTGTGTCTTTTAGAGAATACACTAGGTCTATATTTTGGTTTTAAATTTTAGATTTCTCTACTCAGAAACGAAATGTATGTGGAAGCAGAGATTTGGGTCTTGCTTTACACACCTCCATGTCGATTTTATGTTCATTAAAATACTATGCAGTATCTTATTTAGTTGTATTTTTTTGTAACAATGATCGTCAAAAGTATTTAGCCAAAAAAAAAAAGTGTGTTTTAAAAAAAACTCCCAACTCCCCAGAGCATCCAACAAAGCCATTCCCATCCCCTGTTCCAGATGATGGCATTTTATCCAGGCATAACTGCCCTTTGGAGACGTGTTTTCTGGTATTCCAATACTGATGGTGCTGCTAATACCTTCCAACACAAGTTCTTAAATTATTTTATGACTATTTTCATTGACTGTGTGGACCATGTGTATGTTCACCTCAATAAAACACATGAAAATCTCAAGGGGATGCTTTTCATTTTTTAATTTTATTTCAGGCACGAGTTCTGTTATTTATTAAACAGTATAATATGAATTTATTATTCCAAAATAAATTCATGTTTGTTTTGCATTCATTACAAATCTGAATATTCTCCCCTTTTCCACTTAGGAAACAAGACATCCCACACAGGTTTATCATGGAAGTGATCTTGGCAATTTATACTGAATGTTTACTGGAGCAATAGAGAACTTTTTAAAATGTTTTAACGGGGAAGTAAAAGGCCAGGAATTTATTCCAAGTTATGGTTATTTACAGAATCCAATTTTTTACTGCTGGAACAGTCGAACACAGGTTGGAACCAGGCCTGCCATCTGTTACCATGGTTACAGAAATCCCAGGGGATTTGATTCCTGAAAATGTCCAATTCTCCTTCATCCCTGCTGGGAAGGCAGTGCTGTCTGGGGATGTGGAAGTACCAGTCTGTCCAAAGGGGATCCTGCAGGAGTGTTACTCCTGAGTATTTTGCCCACCTATTTATCACTTGGTTTCTCTGAAATTAATATTCAAAGCTGAGACGGCCAAGAGTGGGAATTTACACCTGGTGTGTGAGCACAGGCTCCTTTGGTAAAATCCAAGTGACACCAACTTTTCCTCTCCTGAGAAATAAAGCTCCAGTATGTGCAAAAACCTGCTAACAGGTGCTTTGTGGGTGTTTGCTGGGTGGCTGTTTAATTCTTTAGGTATGCAGAGATGGTGACGTGCTCACGGGGTGGATTCCTGGAGCTGCTGCTGGAAACCTGAGCCGAGCAGGGCCAGGGGCGTCACCCTGAGTGCTGCGGGCACCGCTGGGCACTGCAAACATAAATCACAGCCTGGGGGCGTGGGAAGGGAACTTAAAGGTCACCCGGTGCCACCCCTGCCGTGGGCAGGGACACCTTCCATAGACCAGGCTGCTCCAAGCCCCGTCCAACCCGGCCTTGGACACTTCCAGGGATCCAGGGGCAGCCACAGCTTCTCTGGGCAACCTGGGCCAGGGCCTCACCACCCTCACAGGGAAATATCCGATTTAAATCTGTCAGCGTGAATCCATTCCCCGGGCCGTGTCACCCCATCCCTTGTACGAAGTCCCGCTCCAGCTCTCTGGGAGCCCCTTTAGGCACTGGAAGGCGCTCTAAGGTCTCCCCGGAGCCTTCTCTTCTCCAGCACTGGGGCAGCGCTGCCACAGCACCCACATTCTGAGCGACACCCGCTGCTGCCCCTCAGGAGCCGCTGCCTCGGCCCCGCGGGGCTTCACCCCGCCAGGATCCTCTTCCTGCTCGTTCCCCGTCCTCCTCTCGCCACGCTCACCTTCCCTGGGCCCCGCCGAGCCGCTCTCGCCCCGGGAAAGGCTCGTCACCCCCTCATCGCCCGCCCGGTCCCCTCACGGTCCCCTCACGGTCCCCTCCCGGTGGTGACCACGCCCCCGTGACGTCACCCATCAGGGGCGGGCTCCACCCCCGCCAATCCGGCGCGGCCCCGCCTTCCTCCTCCCCTCCCCGCCCCACGTGCGCGCGGCGGCTCTCGCGAGATCCCCGATGTAAACAAAGCCGGGGGGCGGGGCCAGAGGAGGTGGCTCCGCCCGCCTTCGGCCGCGTCCCACCGCGCCCCGCCCACCACCCGGCGGCGCGGCCGCCCATTGGCCGAGCTGGAGGAGCGGCCCGCCCCCGCGGCGCGCTGATTGGTGGCGGGCGCGGAGCGCTGGTTGTCATTGCCCCGGGGGTCCCAAACAGTGTCAGTGGCGCCGGGAGCGGCGGCAGGTGAGGGGCGCGCGGGCTGAGGGGGCGGCGCGCGGGTTCGCGCGCGGGGCAGCGCTGAGGCGGCTCCGAGCGGGCTCCGAGCGCCGGGGATGCGAGGCCGGGGCGGGCCGGGGGGCGGCGGGCAGCGGGCAGGGCAGGCCGGGCCGTGCGGCCTGAGGGACCCCCGGCGGTGCGGCGGCAGGGCGCGGGGCGGGAGGCGAGGCCGCGGCCCCGCTCACCGGGCGGTCCCGGCGAGGACACGGCCCCGCTCACCGGGCGGCCAGAAGGGGGACAAAAGGCCGGGCAGGTCGCGGCGTTTGGGTGGGAGTTGCTCAATAGCTGAGGGTGCCCGGCCGGCCCGGCCGCGGGGGGGGACGGGGTGTCCGGGTTGGGGCGCAGGCGTGTGGAATCCCCGAAGGTGAGGGGCTGGGCTGTGTTCGGCTGCTCCCTGCCCCTCGCGGGGGTGGCACCAGGTGTTGGCACTCAGGGCTGGGCGGGCACAGGTGTTCCGAGGGTGGGTTCATCCCTCCCGTGCCATTTTGTGTTTTGCGGTTCCTTCACGTGCGTGTCACGCTGCGGTTGTGTTCCTGGAGGTTTTGTTATTAATTATTATTTTTTTAATTAATTTCCGGGTGGCTGTCTTGCCTCGCTGAATGAGTTGGCCCTGACAGAGTCTGCCCCGACGTGAAACGATGCTGGTGATTGGTACCACGTGGGGGATTTGGCTTTTTTCTCTTACTTTGTGCCCAGGTTCTTGGTTTGGGGTGGCGGGACAGCCGAGTGGACTGAGGAGCTGGCAGGGATCTGTGATGCTCCTCAAGTGCTTTTTGCCTCTAGGAACCTTGCCCAGAATGTTCACACAACAAAGTGTGAAGAAAAGCTCGCAGGTGGCACGAAAAGCTGACATGGAACAGCAGAATGTGTTCCACCACACTTTTTGTGTGAGCTTCAGTGTAACCCGTTTTTTTTCAAGAGTACAATACACTGCAGTTGTGACTGTATATTATTTTTATATAATTATTTTCCAAGACAGCAGTAAATAGTGGGTTTATGTGATGATGGCGGCACCTGTGTGCCTGTACCACTGTCTTCAGTCGTGGAATTGTTTGGGTTGAAAGGGTTGAGAGTCGAAGGTGCTTTTCCAGTTTATCATGCAGGTCTGTGGGGTGTTTTTTTGCTTCCACAAAACACTCCAGGAGCTGCAGTGACTGAGACACTGCAAAGAGAAATCGCTGGTTTGGCGCGTGCTTTTCTTTCGCTTAAAAAAAGAAGTGCTGTGAAGGCACCTACAGGTTTGTCTGGGTGGAGTTTCTCTGCTACCACCTTGAAGAATATGTCAGGGAGTTTGTAACAATTAACCTTGCACAGGTGATGTTAAAAAGGGCTGTGTTTCCTGCAGGTGTGAGCACAGAAACGATGGCGACAGAGTCCCCGCGCCGGCCCAGCCGATGCACAGGAGGGGTGGTGGTTCGGCCTCAAGCTGCCACGTAAGAACCTTCTAGAAGAGCAGCCCTGAGTGAAATGCTCTTTATTTTCTTGTAGAAGGACCTTCCTTGCCTGAGTTTTGTGGGGTGTTTTTTTTCCAAGCCAGCTGGGAGGGCTTGTGTTGCCTCTGCGGTTCTCCAAAAGTCAGCACACGTTTCATTCCCATCTTTTAGGTGCAGGTCAAACTTGTCTCCCTGCCTGGGATGCTTTGCACTTGTACACCAAAGCAAAGCTGCAGGTTTAGAAAACTGAAATGTTGCCTAGTTTTGTTGTTGTTTGCACCATTTTGCTGCACAAACACTGCCCTGGCTGTAGGTTCAATGGTGCAAACTTCCTTGGGCCAGAGGGACATGCTGCACATGCTCCTTTCCTGCTGTTCTCTTCAATAACACCTTGCCCCCTGGACTGGATATATTAAAACACATAAAACTTGTCATTAAAGTCCTTCAGTAAGTAGAGTTGAGCATTCTATTTCTTTTTTTTTTTTTTTTTACTTGACAAAACCAAGAGGAAAGGAAGCAGCTCTGTCTCTTTGGCCAGAGCTCCCAAGAGACCATTTTTGTCCTTGGGCATCCTGACTTTCATTGTGTTCACATGGAAATACTTTCATGGCAAAAGAGCTTTTGGGCTGTAAGACAGCCTAGAAGATTTATGGTCTTTTTTTCTGTCTGTTAGAGGATTTTTGTAGCATTTTTTCTTTCTTGGGATGCTTACACTGCTGCAGGATAACACTCCATTGAAATATTCCCTTCAGTTTTTACCCCTGTGTGCTTAAACATCAAGATTCACTTTATTTTTGCTGGAGAGCACAAGAAACTGATTGTTGTAGCACAGAAAGTTGTGTTAGAGGTTTGTCTTGCAGTCCTGTGACAGAGGAAGCATTTTTTTATATTTTTTTTTTTATGTTGCAGAATTCCTCCACAAACACACTTCCCTTTGTAATGACCTTTTCTTGAAAATAGGCTTTAAGAATATAATACTAGAACAACGCTGCAAGAAGCTGATCATGATGGTTATCTGTTCTTTTTATTTTTGTTCTTTTTGAACCTGGTGTCTTGTTCTTGAGGTACTTGTGCTCACCTCACAAGTGTCAGTGTTTTTGAGGCTGTGTGTGCTGAGCAGCACAGCAGCATTCTGCTGGTCATATTAAGTTTCTAGATCCCTATTAGGGAAAGATTTTTATATATATATATATATGTATTTTGTGGCTTATGTTGTTTTTAAGCACTTTAAAGACCTCTCCCTGGAAGTTTTTGAGCCTCAGGAGGGATTTAGAGCACATACACTGCATAAAACGTTGCCCAGACATCAAATTTGTTTTGACGTGTAGCTGGGGGAGGGAAAAGTCCATTCCATGAGCTGAACCATGGGGACAGGATGACTCTGGCTGGGAGGCATTCCCAGACCTTCAGACACTGTGTTTAACAGCCTGCCTGTGGCCAAGCATTATCATCAAGGGCTCTGAAGGTGTGCAAGGGCAGTTTGGGTGACCTACATAAATCAGAGAGGAATCAGCACCAGAAACCCACAGCTCGTTTGTGAGGCCCCAGCCTAAAGCAGTGGGACAAACTGGGATGCAGAAATCCTTGGGTTACTGGACAGAGGCTGATTTGGCCACGAGCTGGAATAAGCTTTCTAAAAGTTAAGACTTTGTTTTAGTTTTATCTGTGTTTTCAGAGAGGAAAACTAATCCAGCTGGTGCAGCATTTGACTTCGATACCTTCTGTATTGCTGTGTGCAGTGCTTAATTCTTCAGAGGACTTCACTCTTCAGTGCTAAACGTTCCCACTTCTATTAAAACACTCTTGCAGAGCTTCAGAAAGCACCTTTGGCCATCCAGGAGTTTACAGGTTTCCTTTGTTGCTCTTAGAAATCTCGAGTTAGCACAGAAAAAACCTGCGACAGCATAAAAGTGAATTTGGGGGCTGCCAAAGCTGTTGCCTGAAGAGTTGTTTTGTTTTTTGTTTTTTTTTTTTTAAGTAGTCCCAGACTGTGTGAAGGTAGTTCTTGCTGCCAGAGTGTCTCTAGTGTTACTCACTGCATAAAACCCCAAACTTCTTGCATAGTTTCAGCACCATCTGTGTGACCTGCTCAGCCCACACCACGTTACTCAGCACTTACACAAGACACTCCTCACCTGGGCAGGGCTAAGCTAATAAAAGCATTACTTTAAATCTACCCCAAAAAATGCATCTCATGCTTCACACCGTCCTAAATCATGACTGCTGGTGAACTTCCAAGAAGGAATAAGCTCTCCCAAGCTATAAAATCTCTTCTGAAAATACCTCTCTCCCTGCTATTCTTAGGGAGGATGTTGCTCCATCTCCTGCCCCCCTCGTGCTGCCACTTCCTCCATCCTTGTACATAATGCACAGGAGGGCTGGAAGCTTCCTTGTCCCACCATCCCCTGTTTAAATCCTCATTTTCATGTTGTTACAGCCAAATCAGGGAGAAAAAGACTGAGAGATAATTTCCTGATGTGGAGAACGTGGCTTATTCCTTCATTTTTAGGTTTTGTACTTCCCCCCCAAGCAGTTATTCCATAAGCAGGTGTCACTGAGCTTTTTTATGACTTGTATTTAGTCCTTTCATTACTTACAGGCCAATATTTATATTATCAGTGTTTGGCAGTATATTGAATAACTAAATTGCATACTTGGTATTTTCCTTTCTGCTGAAGGTTGTCCATCTTTCCTCTGGTTCTGTGTCTTATTTGATAATTTTCATGACCATTTCTGAGCTTCAGTGGGAGTTGAAATTCTCCTTCTGTTTTCAAGGGAACAGTCCTACATGGAGAGTGTTGTTACCTTCCTGCAAGATGTTGTGCCACAGGTATGTGCAGGTCTTTAAAACTGGGGTTTTCTTTTGAGTGGAAATGCGTGTCAGGTGGACCAAAATAAAGTAAAATAACCCAGAAAAAACAAAAGCCAAATGTTTTGGCCTTTTGAATGTGAATCTTGAGACGGGGTTTGTGAGCTCAGGCTGCAGAGCAGCTGAGGGTGGGCCTGCACACTTCCTCTGATGAGTAAGAATGAAATGAAAATCACAGCCACACAGTGGAAGAACTGCAGTATAAACAGCAGGAAGAGGATTGCAGCTTTTCCTTGGATAATTTGAACAGTGGAAGAGCT